CACTTCAAGGTCCACAAAGTACTGCGCCTGCCACGAAATTTGCACTTCAAGGCCCACCTGCGACAAAATGTGCACTTCAAGGTCCACAAAGTAGTGCACCTGCCACAATTTCTGAAAACGAGCCACATGTTCAAAAATCAGCATTCACTGCACCTGCCACGAGATCAGAGCGTGCCGAAGACCACCACCATCTCCAAAGTACTGCGCCTGCCACAAAATCTGTACATCGACATCAAACTGCTCCAATCTCCTGCACCTGTCACGAAAAGTCAACTTTAGATTACCAAAAAACACAAGGTGTCCCTTGCACCTGCCACGAAAAATTATCACCAAGTCCAAAAATGTGCACGGCACCATAACGAGAGCGCACCTCCGTCAAGCACCGTCCCGCGGCCAGCGTTTCGCACGACCCTGCGCAGAGAAATTGCATTGGAGATCACAGAACGGAACTTTTCTGCGAGCCTGCGCAGCCAAATCGCCCAGCTCAAAGAGCGTACCCTGATCGAACCCGGGCTTTTACACATACCGTAAGAACTCCTCAGTGTGGACACACTGTTTGGGGGAAAGCTGGTTTGGCAAACCATTTATTGTGCTTTACCCCAAAGAGCGCCACTAGGCACCCCCCACACTTGCACAAATAACGGGTGCCTTTGCACTCTTGAAACAATTCCCCAGCCTTCAAACACCATCTAAAAAACTGTGTAGTGTAAAATCCAAAGTAGAACATCGTAAAACACATGCTTTTGTAGTGTAAAATCCAAAGTGGAACATAGTAAAACTACGGTCCTTTCGTAAATCATGTGTATAAATAATGAACAAGTTAATGATGGATCGAATCCTGGAGATTCTCGCTAACTTGGAAGCCGTCTGAGACAGCCAACAAAGGGCGTCGAGGGAAGATCCATTATCTAGATCCACTTTGTGCATTTGACTTTCAGACCTCTGGCGTGGAGGTGATCTGGAGATCATGTGCTTAATGAATATACAGGGCAACTCTTCAGCAGCATTCTAGAAAATTGCTAAAGTTCCCATGTGGCCCAACCAGTGTAGAACGAAAGCTCCTCCCTTCTCTCTCTCTCTCTCTCTCTCTGTTGAGCGCCCCCCCCGTGGAAATGCGCTCGTGAAACCCCGGCCGCCTTGGAAGACGAACATCGCAGGCGTAACGGTCCGAATAGTTGGCCGAGCTCGCAAAGTAGCAACCCCTCGGCGGGTCCACGCGGCGCGGGTCCACGCGGGCGGCGAGGACCGAAGGTGTGAAGCCGCTGGTGCGAGGGAGGTGCTTGGAGAGCCGAACTGGGATCCGAACTCGTGGTACACATGGAATGGGCTATAAAGAACTATTCAACCTCTCCAGGAATGACTCGGGCGCACCTCGGATGTCACGATTCCTTCACCCACTCGACCAATGGCGGACCGTTCCCCTCTGCACCGGCAGGACTGAGCCCTCGCGCTTGCCATAGGCGCAGGTTTGTGCACGGGCTCGGTCAAAACCATCACGACCTGGGCGGCCCAGCCCAGCCCTGGTGAAGACCCCCATGCCCCCTCGGAATCCATAAGCCCCTTGTCGATGGCGCAAACACATGTACAAACATGTTAAACGCCCATAGACAATAGACAAAAGATTGGTGAAATGATGAACACCCAAACTGGGCCAAGCTTCGCCTGCATCAGACTGCGTTCCACTGGTGGAGACCCATGGGCAGATCCCATCAAAGGTTTGGCTGGCCATGTCTGGCTGGGACCTGACCTTTTTGGTTGAAGAAACACCTTGAACACAGGGCTCCGGAGTATGTCCATGTGCAGTAATTCCTCTACCACCCTTCATTTGGATCCATTTGGGGTGTCCATCCACGACGTCTATTCGCCTCATGCGGTTTCTCTCCATCTGTGGGTCCCCCCGCGTCCATGACTCCGTTCACCCCAGAATCACCGGTGAGGATGCTGGGGGCGAAGTGTGCTTTGGGCGAAGTGTCCAGTGTCCACCCCAGACCAGCCACAAAAGCGATTTCAAGCGGACGTCACCCACGCATTTGGGTTTTTTCCCTTGCAACCCGACCAATAGAAAGCCTCTGTAGGTGCGGAAGGACTGCCTTCTTTCGAATCCGTGCCCAAGCCAAGCAGGCCGCGGGGGGGGGGAAGCTCCAACAGGCTGAAAAAGAGGTGCCAGCAACTCAGAGGTTGAGGGGTGTCCATGAACCACCCCTAGGGTGCCTGGTACATATAGGGCACAGAAACGTCATTGTTTCAAAAGACATAGGATGCGATTTCGCCTTTTTGAGAAAAAGACGGGCTTAGTCCAGTCATCTGCATGGCTGAGTCCAGTCGCCCGTCGCCGCAGTCAACAAGTTCCCAGTGTTCCCAGTGGGGCGCCCAGCAGATATCCAACAATCCTTGCACAGTCCGGGTGCCATGCCATAGGAGCCGCACTCCTTCTTACCGCATCACATGGTTTCACGGTCAGCGACGCAGCTGCGCCCCTAAGGGCATCCATCATGTGCGGGGGGACTGTCATGGGGCGGAAGCTCTGGAAAACATTCAGGCATTCTAAGTGTCGAATGTGGCAGTGGCAAATCGTTATCTGGCTGGCACTTGTGTTGCTGTCGTTGGCTCATTTGCTTGAAGTCAAGGGCAATCGAGCAATCCCGTAACCGATCCTTCAACTTGTTGCTCGTCCCTCAAACCAAATCTGTCAAAAACCTGGCCACCCAACAACTCGCTGCGTGCCCTCGCTCCGGTCACACACCCGGTCCGAGTGATTGGGCATGTGCATCGCTGTGGTCCTCAGCCAGGCGTCTCTGCATGACCTGAGCAGAAAACCATCGATGGACCGGTCCAGTCCCGGCACCCGGACCGGTCGGCAGGACAGACCGTTCGACCAGCACCCGAAGAAACGGCTGCACCCGAAGGGCGGGGCACGCACCCGAACAGCTCGAAATGGGGGCAGCTGGACTGTTCACCTGTTAACCAGGTGCCAAAGGCCGGTCTTCGAAGTGGAACGACATCCATTCCATCCCATCTCGGCGACCACTGGCGCTCTTGGCTGTCCTTCACCAGGTGTTCTTTAAGCCCTGGAACGACATCAACGAAAAACAACAAGTAAAAAAAAAGGTGAAGACGAAAAAGTGCTCGACCGCGACCGCTCGACCGCGACCGCTCGACCGCTCGCCTGCTGCTGCGCGGTGAAGGCTTCGATGAGCCCTGGTGAAGGCTTCGTGGTCGACAAGTCGACAGTGTTTCCCAACAAAAAACGAAGGACACCATGTAAACATAGCTGTGAAATCATGTGAAATGTATTGAAATGTTCTACAGCAATCAAGACACAAGGGTGTCCCAATGTACAAACTGGTATCAGTTTCGGGATGTCCCATCAAAGCCCCACTTAATGATCAAACAGCGATAACTCCACAAGAAACTGCCTCCAAAGCTCTTACCTAAATTTTAATAGTACATAGTTGTAGATGAATAGTTCAGCTATAATCAGCTGACCTCCCCAAATGATGGCCCCACCATCTCGGGGTTCCCCCAACTCAAAACCCATCGCCACTCCGCCCTCGCCACTCCGCCCTGACGACGCCCGCCTCGATTCTGCACCCGAAAGGCGGCCAAGAGCTTCGAGCCGCGACCCCCTTGCTGCCTCGGACGGGGGGTGCGGAGTGGTCCGGGTGCGCAACTAGGGCGGAGTGGCGCGCCCTTCATCCTAATGTCAGCTGGCGAGATTCGGGCGAAGTCTGGCTCAAAGATCATTGGGCCATGTTGGGACACCAGAAAGAACTGGCACCATGTGGTGGCACTTTGAACCTCTTTTGGGATTCTCTTTTGAGGTGAACCCAGGGTCCAACCGGATTTTGATGACCCCAAAAAGCGCCAGCGCCTATGCAGGTCGAGAGATAGAAGTAAAAAGGCGAAGGAGAAACCGTCAGACTCTTGGAGTGTGTTCTTCTTGTCAATGAACTTCTGAGGCCCTCAGGTCTTCTCAGGTCTTCTCAGGCCAGGACAGGGAAGGACGACAGGCCAGGACTACATCTCTTGTAATGAAAAGACATGGCTCGCTCAGGTTTGCCTTGTTTTGGAAAAAGAAAAATGTTTTCCATCGACCGCTTGGTTCCACATTTCAATCGATCACACTTAAAAAAGTACAGAAAGCTACGAGCAGCTATGACCCCTCATGGCATCTTTGGCCTTTGAGCCACCTCTCGATGCATTTTGCTTCCCAAAACGTACAGTGATCAAAGCTGGGGCCTCGAGGTACCTAACCACCAAAATGATGAAATCCCATGAAGTCCGCCAAGACAAGGTGACCTGCGGAGAAGCGACCCATCATGTTTGGATGACTCAACCTGCTCTCAACAAGGGGGAATCACAACAACATTTTATGTACACTGAAACCTGTGTCCTTTGACACCACCCTGTGAGGAAAAGGACCTACTTTCTTTGCTTCACTCTTCCATGTACATGGGGGTGTCATACATCTCAGGCAAAAACGATCGACCGGTGGCCGCTCGCGCACCCTTCGAGTATGGATGCTGTCCGGCAAGACCATCCCGGTGGACAAAATTCTCTGTGGAAATCTTCGCTTCTGGTGATGACTCCCTTGCTTAAGCCCCACAAAATGAACACGCCTGCGCTCGCAACCCCGTGTTCCCCACAGCCCTTTTGCGACCCCAAACAAACACCCAGCGGCCAAAGCTCTTGCAAAGCATTCCACTCCTCCCAACGAATCGAGACAAAATCGACGCGTAGTTGGGTCGAAGCGATGTTCCGTGGGGTTCTGAAAAAGTGAGGCTCTTACTCAAGCGCCGAGGAAAGCGGGGGTTGAGGCATTGGATCATTGTGGATCTGGACCTTGGGAAATGTTCCGATCACCGACAAGCAGGCGTTACCGGATTCCAATCGGAAAAAAGTGGCTGATGGGGTGCCGTAGGAACTTCCAACTTACTGAACATGTTCATGCATTATAGGTTATAGGATTCATTGATCAGGGTGAATATGAAGAATCAGGCCATGTAACAATATGTTCACCTGTTGCCATTGTCACAAAAAGCAAAAGACTACTGCCAGTGGACAATGTCCAGCTCTGTTCCAAAAAAATCAAATCACGAATCAAATATCTACTGTAAATGTTTAGCCATCAAATGTGTTTGTATTTTCCACAGTAATGCTCTCCGATTTTGCATGATGGCTGCAATTTGTCATCCAGCTATATGAAGATGCGACCCGGCTGTGTTGGAGGGGCACCTGTTGTTCTCGGGCATCACCAATCTTGAGAGGAAATGCCTGGAGTGTTTGTCTGTTTGTCAGTTGTCGAGTGAAAACATACCACCCGTCGAGTGAAAACATTACCATCCTTTCAGAGGGTACAGGAGGCTTCTGAAATGAGGTTCATTTTCTGGCAAATGTCTTCCCCGATTGGGAACGAAGGATTGACGTGACGTTCCCAACTTTCAATGGGTCGTCGTCGGCAAAAGCCGTGGTGTCCAAATCCACGCGAAACCCCGGCAGATGGACTGCCCTCAGAACTGACAGATGACACTAACGTGTTCATTACTTTGCTGCATATCCTGTTCCTTGTGTTTTCATGTTTTTGCTTTTCAACGCGGTGCATTCACCCTTTTTCCGGCTGAGTTCATTGACCCACATATGACTCATGTCTGCGCATATCCTCTAGACACACGTATAGGTATAGTATTATAAGAATATAGGAACATACTGCATATATAAAGAATAGAAGTATGCTTGATAAATATATATATATATATATTTAATAAATATTTGCATAATAGTGTAACTGCAGATGGGACTGTAGCGTAGCGTGAGGAGTCCTGGCGTTCTTTCTGCAGATTTGCTCGCGTATATTCTGGTGTCCTTCCCGGCCATCTATCTGGCGCATATATGCTGACATCCTTCCTGACATTCGATCTGGCAGGTCTTCTGGCATATGACCTGCCTCGCCGTGCTGCGGGTGTCATACTTGTCCACAAAACTCAAGACATACAGGACGACGACTGTCCTGAACCGTGATTAGAGATGGACGAGTAACAGGCCGCTGCAAATAAAGTTCACCATTTTTGGGCTGGCTTTCGGGGGACCAGCTTTGACAGGGAGGCTGACGCTGTCTTGGACATCACCACATCAGGTGGCTTTCTGTTTGGTGCTTAAGTGTACGCTAAAACAGGCTAAAACAATATCTGTCAGCCGGCATTTTTTGTGAGAAACTACGCCGAATCCGGCGTGGAGGTCTTGTAATGTGTACTTCCATGTGGGAGCTACTGCAGCCCGCCCTTGGGTTGCAGATCAAAAGTAAGCTGAATGTAGTCTGCAAAAAATCAACACTTCTGAGCTGGAGCCTTGAGCGCATCTGACGAACCAAGGGATGCGCGCCAATCAGCTGCTTTTGGCAGCCTTGTGTGTTGTCGGGCAGTCGCCATGTCTGAAGCAACCCCAGGGAGCCAAGCCGCTTGTTTGGTTCCTGGAACATTTTCAGGCGAGTGCCCTAGGCACTCTGCGCAACCCGTGCAGCTTGTGTTTTTCCTTTTGGCCCAAAAATTCGCACGTCACCACAACGAGAGCGCGCCTCCGCCAAGCACCGTCCCGCGGCCAGCGCTTCGCACGACCCTGCGCAGAGAAGTTGCATTTGGAGATCTCCGAACGGAACTTTTCTGCGAGCCTGCGCAGCCAAAACGCCCAGCTCAGAGAGTGTACCCTGATCGAACCCGGGCTGTACACTTACCGTAAGAACCCCTCAGTCAGTGTGGACACACTGCAGTGTGGACACACTGTTTGGTGAAAAACTGGTTTGGCAAACCTGTTACTTCCCCCACCAATGATTGCTGATGAAGGGGAAGCAGAAGAGGCCAATGGAGGAATGTGGAGTCTCTCGGTGTGGCCTCATCCGACACTACCACTGGCATCCGGCCTCTACATATTTACATGGCGTCACCGTATAGCGTTTCGGAAGACCAGGACCGTGACATAACATCACACATCCACTTCTTTCCATTTTGTTCCACAGTCCTATATATCTGCAGCCACCGTCTATATTACGGTTCATAAATATATTTTTTTTTACATGTCTATTCTCGAATGCATAGCGAAGGGTTCTCGTTCAACTCTGGGGGTCTGGGGGTAGAGCCTTGTTCGCGACTCGTTGTCTCAGCGTTCGCAACGGTTGTCAACCGTCTGCCGCCGTTCGCGTGAGGACGCTCAGGCCGCTGCCATTGGGGGCAGGTTTGGGAGAGGGTTTGGCATGGAAGCGTGATGTGTCAGATTCGTGTGAAATAGCGACGAAATGTGTGGAAACGTAAGATGTTGAAGTGTGGAGGATGAGTTCACTGCGCAGGCGTAGCGTTTTGTGAGATTGGCAGCTTTCTGCGCAGGATTGGCGTTTGGAGAGCGGTGTTTTTCGGGTGTTGGATGTAGCTGTTACATTGGGATTTGCGTTTCAGGGTGTTGCATCGAAGCTTTGTTTTTGTGACAAGTCTCAGCTGATATGACGATTTTGGTGGATGGGAGTGTGCTCAGAACGGGTCGAAATCATTCCAAACGTGTAGTGTGGCGCAAACTTTGTGGAAGCTTACGTGATATGTGATTGGCACTTTTCGTGGCAGGGGCAGTGCTTTGTGCGGTTTTGGATGTGTGGAAGTGGGATTTTCATGGCAGGTGCAGGGAATCGTGAGGTTATGAGGTGTGGCAGATGTCATATTTCGTGGCAGGCGCAGTACTTTGTGCGCGTTAGACGTGTGAAAACGGAAAGTTTCGTGGCAGGCGCAGGGAATCGTGAGGTTGCGAGTTGTGGTGGAGGTGAACGTCGCCGTGACGTGGGGATTGGTGTGTGAGCGGGCGTTGTTTGGAGGGGCTGGAATCACGAAACTGCTTGGCACTGCTTCGCAGGGCTGCTTGATGTGTAACGATCGGAGTTCCCGCGTTCCGCTTGACTTTTGGAGGACGTCTCATACGAAATGCTCCTTTTGGAGACTTTGACATGCGACTTCTGGAGGGGCACTCTTGTAGGACACTCTTGTAGGACACTCTCGTGGGACAATCTTGCGGGACACTCTTGTAGGACACTCTTGTTCAGGAAGCTCTTGTAGGACACTCTTGTCAGGCACTCTTGTGGAACACTCTGGCGGGTCACTCTTGTGGGACACTCTTGTATGTGACTCTTGTGGGACACTCTCGCAGGACCCTCTGACACTCTTGCGGGACACTCTTAGTTTGTCACTCTTGTGGGAGTAGGACACTCTTGTGGGACACTCTTGTGGGAGTAGGACACTCTTGTCTTCAAAACGAGCATTTCGCACGAGACTTCTTCCAAAATTCACTCGTCAAGTCTCCAAAACAAGCGCTTCGCGCGAGACTTCCTCAAAACCTCACACTTGAAGTCTGCAAAACAAGCGTTTCGTACGAGACCTCCTCCAACAGTCACGCATCAAGTCTGCAAAACAAGCGTTTCGTACGAGACTTCCTCCAAAAGTCACGCGTCCAGTCTGCAAAACGAGCGTTTCGAGTCCTCCAAGAGTGTCCTATAAGAGCGCCCCACAATGTCACAAGAGTGTCCTACAAGAGTGTCCCACAAGAGTGTCCCACAAGAGTGCCCGACAAGTGTGTCCTAAGAGGGTGTCCCACAAGAGTGACCCCACAAGAGTGCCCCACAAGACTGCTTCGCAGCAGTGTCCTACAAAAGTGTCCCACACGAGTGTCCCGCAAGAGTGTCCCACAAGAATGTCCTACACGAGTGTCCTACAAGAGTGTCCCACAAGAGTGTCCTACAAGAGTGTCCCACAAGAGTGTCCTACAAGACTGCAAGACTGCTTCGCAGCAGAGTCCTACAAAAGTGTCCCACAAGAGTGTCCCGCAAGACTGTCCCACAAGAATGTCCTACAAGAGTGTCCTACAAGAGTGTCCCACAAGAGTGTCCTATAAGAGTGTCCCACAAGAGTGTCCTACAAGCGTGTTCCGCAAGAGTTTCCCACAAGAGTGAGTGTCATACAAGGTGTCCCACAAGAGTGCACAAGAGTGTCCCACAAAGGTTTCCGAAGAGAACGTGTCCTACAAGAGTGTCCCACAAAAATGTCTCCTACGAGAGTGTAAAAGATTGTTTTGACTCCAGCTCTTTCTCTAGTGCTTGCTCTTGCAAGTCTGTCTGTGTAAAGCGGCATTGAGCCTCCAGCGAAAATGCCAGCTAACTTCGAAGGCAATGCTCTCTCAGCAATGCCGTTCAAAAGGCTTCTCAAAAAAGGCTTCCAGTCATCCCAGCAAATTTCGAAGGCAATGCTCTCGCAGCAATGCCATTCAAAAGGCTTCTTCAAAAAGGCTTCCAGTCATCCTTCGATGGCAAGGCGTGCGTTGCAGCGCCGGCCAAAAGGTGTCTCAAGGAAGGCTTCGAGTCAACCCAGGGTGGGAAGAGAGGAATGAAGGACCGAACTTGGGGGGGGCGCACTTGATACTTAAGAAGTGGCCACAGAAATTCATGAGCTTCCGTCAAAAACGGCTTTGCCTCATATGACTCCAGCTCTTTCTCTAGTGCTTGCTCTTGCAAGTCTGTCTGTGTAAAGCGGCATTGAGCCTCCAGCGAAAATGCCAGCTAACTTCGAAGGCAATGCTCTCTCAGCAATGCCGTTCAAAAGGCTTCTCAAAAAAGGCTTCCAGTCATCCCACCTCCATTGTCCTGTATGGCCCTAGGGGGGCTGGGCTGGGCCGTAGTTGAGACT